ACACAACTGATACTCACGTATGTGTGTTTCTGTATGTGTGTGAGTTAGAAGGATTCAGAATTGGAAATTAATGGATTCCTTATAAAATCTTTTAATTGTTTTGTCTCTAAAATTATTTTGTCTCTAAAGGTGGGGCAGGGGGTGTGCCTAGTTTCAAAGGCTCTGTAGTGTAGCAAACAAAATAGTTATCCATGAGATAGTAAAATTGAACTATGCATCCTAAATACTTTTTTATTGATGCTGGATGTTAGTATTCATTGAATTAAAAACCCTCGAAACACTTATGTCACAAAGGATCAGATAAATAATCCTAGGAACTGACCTTTTCCTATGGGCTTAAGCCAATGCCCTGGAAAAATAACACTGTTCAGCAATTTAATAGGCCGACATCAATTCCCCATGTGCAAGCACTTTCTATCATTTATAAAAAGGTACCATGTTTTTAACATTCTAATACTTTTTAGCTCTTATGCCAAAATATATAAAAATTTAAAATATCCAAGCCTTGAATATTTTTACTATTTCCTAGAGTCTTTAGCAATCTAGTTTAAGAAAAGGGGAATTTTTTTAAAAAAAGGATTTACAGTGTTATCTCATGGAAATTCAAGGACTGAAACAAGTACAGCCAGACCTCATAGGAAACATAATTGGAAATTAAGCCACACTTTGTCTCTTTCAGGGTCCAAATGGTCTCCCTGTCACCTCTCTCACTTCCCATCTGTTCTGTACAACAGCAGGAATGATTTTTTTAAACCTAAGTCTAATATTATCTTCTAGTAACCCTCTAGTGGCTTCCCATCTCTCTAGGTAATAGCTAGTGTTCTGACCCAGGTTCACAAGCCCTGTGTGATCTTGCTCATTCCATATTTGACTTCAACCCTATCACGTGCTCTCTTTCTCCCTCTGTCCCTGGCAGTTTTCCCTCCCTTGCTATTCCTTTAACTCACCAAGCACACACTTATCTCAGAGCCTTTGCACCAACTATACGCTCTTCCCAGAATACCCTTTCCACAAATACCTGCATGGCTGGCCCCATCACTGCATTCAGATTTCCATTCAAAGGACACGTGGTCAAATAGGCACCCTGACCGTACTACCTCAGGTAGCAATTTCCCCATTACTTTTAAACTTCATGGCTGGCTGGCTGGCTGGCTGGCTTGCTTGCTTTCTCCTTTCTTTCTTTCTTAATAGACTTTATTTTTTTAGAGAAGTTTCAGGTTTACAGCTGAATTGAGCAGAAAATACAGAGTTCCCACATAGCCCTCCCCACCCACACATACATACTCCTCTACCCTCAACACCCCTCATCAGTGTGGCATATTTGGTACAATTGATGAACCAACATGGGTACATTATTATCAGCCAAATTCCATAGGTTACGTTAGGGCTCACTCTTGATGTTGTACATTCTGTGGGCTTTGACAGATGCATAATGACATTTAGCCACCATTATAGTATCATACAGAATAATTTCATCACCCTAAAAATCCCTTGTACTCCATCTATTCATCCCTCCCTCCCTCTCCCCAAACCCCTGGAAACCACAATCTTTTTATTGTTTCTGTAGCTGTGCATGGCCTGCTTTATTTTTATTTCTACAGTTTTCTCACCTAATGAAATACAATTTATATGCTTGTCTCTCCCGCACTACAAGAAGCAGCTTCATGAGAACAGGGACTTTGTCTTAGTCATTGTGGTGTTCCTGGCACCTAGAACAGTGCCTAGTACATAATGAGAACTCCATATGAATGTATTAGAGGGATTAAGTGAATGAATGGTCTCTCTAATCTCTACTTCTTTTTGAGTCTTTTTTTTTTCCTTTCTGCTAAGCTGCTTTCTCTGCATCAGCTAACACACAACTCATAATTGCTACATGGCCTTTCATCTGCAACGTTCTCCAACAACTGGCAACTTCTCTCATTTACTTTAGTTCAAATTCCTGAAAATCTAATTGGACAGACATATTTTCCCAGTAAGGCCACACAAACTATAAATTTCTGGCCAGTCTCTGGAGATATTCTTTTTCAGTTGAGCATATGCTCCTGGTCTAATAAGGCTGAGCCACTTCAGAGTACGGATGATGAGGTGTGAGGAGCTGTGCGCAGGCAGCCAGGCAACACAAACACATCTAGTACCTAATGGCATTGGGGCCACAACAGCACCAATGCTTTTCACTGTCCCAAGTTCTGCTCATGAGTCTGACATTATTCCTCAAGTCCAATGCATTTACCTTCTGCCTCCATATCCCTTCTTGATCAAATGACTTCTCTAACTTTTCTTTGTTACATTCTTTGTTAGATATAACCATGCATGTCAAAACTCTATGATAATATATCCATGTCTCTGTAGAGTCAACAAGATGCCCTTGTACCCCCATTATCCTTCTACTTATGCTTTTGGTTGGTAAACAAGAAATTCCATGTGTCTTTACATAGATCCTGTTGTGGGCACACTCTAAGGTGACCTCCAATGTGTCTCACCTTTGCATAATCCCTTCTTCTTTAGTGTAGGTGGAACCTGTGACTTGCTTCTACTCAACAGAAAATGGCAAATGTGAAGAGACTTTGCAGATGTAATTAAAGTCACAGATTAGTTGATTTTGAGTTCATTGAAAGTGAGATTATTCTGGGTGAAAGTCCTTAAAAGAGAGTCTGGTGACCTCCCTGAAATGAAGACATGCTTTCCTGGTGGCCTTGAAGAGGTCGGGGAAATGAATTCTGCCAATAACCTGATTGAATTTAGAAACTTGATTCTTCCCCAATCAAGTCTCCTGACAAGAATACAGCCCAATGGATACCTAAATTGCAGCTTTGAGAGACTCTGAGCAGAGGTTTCATCGAAACTGTGCCTGTAATGCTGACCTACAGAAACTGTGAGATAGTAAATGTGCCATAATGTGTTATGTGGCAATAGAACACTAACACAGATCCTTCATCCTAGTTCACTGTAAAAGACATGTTTTATATAGTCCTCATGTTATTTTAGTTCTAGACTCCACTGTGTGACTTTGACTTGGTCCTTTTCGCTTTGAGTTTTACATGCTAAATTGTGGAAATAGAAATAATTTTCTTTCTTAGAATACTCCTATTTGAGAACTTACTCTTATCCTATAGTTTTTCTTGTCTTAATGTCTTAAAACTAATTTTAGATCTTCTTTCAGGGGATAGCATGTGATCATGATACTTCCTTCTCTGGCCACATAATCATCTTGTTTGCATGTAGCATCCAACGTTTATCATTTTCAGCTTTTGGTTCTAATAAGGATAAACAAAATATCTTTGGCTATGAAATTCATACATCTCCTTTCATTAATGTTTCTTTTTTTTCTGTTTATGCATATAAATATTTTTTCAACAAAATGATCCTTGATAGTCCAGGGAACTTTAACTTAAAGAATGATTTTATAAGTTCAAAATATTTATGGTGGGAAGTTTTATCCCCTAATTTATCTCTGTGGCATTTAAATGTTCATTTATCAAATTTTGCTTTGTAAAAGTTGAGGATATCTGAGTTTGGTCAGTGCTCACTGCTTTATCATTTATAAATTTCCAAACACTTTTTATTCTGCTTGCAATTTTAAACTATATATTTGAGTGTCTCACCCTTCTGAGAAGTTCTATACAATACTAACCATAATGCAGCATATAATCTTATAATTTAGGAGTCAGGTAACTAATATGTTTTCATATCCCACAGTGGTATGTGTTGAGGGCATAGAAACATGAAGAATTAACATTCTTTTTAATCCCATCAGCACACAGGTTTTCAGAGACTTTATAAACTCACAGAAATTATAGTTTGATATTTGATAGTGCTGTATTTAAAGGGAAAAACCCCTTTTCTTAAGACTATGTTTAATGGTATGCCTTTGAAAAGCCACTGTTTATTTATCATACACATAGAAGTGAAAATTGAGATGAAATATTGATGAAACAGATTTCTTCTATGTTTATCCTACCAGATATTCTCAAACTGTGATTTGAAATTGAAGTGATTAAGAACTTCTATTTCCCAAAGGGGCATCAAGCTCTGGTTGACATTTGCCTAGAGAAATATAAATCACTGTAGATGGGTCCATTATTAAATAGTTTCAAAATCAAATTTTAATTTGAAAGGAAAAGTGAAGTCCCAAATCTTGAGAGGTGCAGGAGATGTAGGATAGTGATCGGGTGGGGATCGGAAATAGTGATGCATATTCATTTTGATCTGTAGGGAATAATGAAACAGCCAATAATCACATTTCTAAATGCATATCGCAGTAGATAAGACTTTAAGTGCTCTAGTCAATTAATTAATTAAGCTTATATCTCATTCAGGTATACAAATTATCCTCTTTAAGGGAAAGAAGCTTAGGGAGATATTTAGAGAGAAATTAATTCAAGGAGCTTTTGTTGAAATATTAAAGTCATATGAACACCTTATCACACGAACTAGAACTGAAACTGGTTTTCTTTGTTATCATACTTAAGTCAGTGTAGTGCATTGATAAGGAACACACTAAACATTTCTAGAGGTAAGGTTTATAATTTTTTTTTTTAAGTAGCAGAGCATGTTTAACACACTTGCATTGTGTTAGTTCAGAAGCATAGATTTCTCTTTTGAAAAGCTGCCTTTGATTTAAATACCAAAATCCTGGAAACTTCTGATAGTAGCCAGTGTTAACTGTTTTCCTTGGAGATGAAGCAAAAAGAAGCAGAAAATTAATTTGCCGTCTCTTGTTATTTGTACATACATGAGATCACAGTTTAATTTATTGTGACATATAAAAGAAAGAGTATTCATAGGGAATAGAATGAGGCTTCTTTATGTTCTTCTCTGTCTTTAAAAAAAAATGTGCACAGGAAAGTGTAAATAAAAGCAGTAAGCTTATTTAACAAAGAATTTGCTGACGTTCTTGTTCCGCCTAGTTGTTTTAAGTTTGCTGCAGCTGTCTCAAGGAGCCTCCAGATGGCGCCCTGATGCCCATTCTCCCAGCACAGCGGCCGACCACTTGCCAGCTGCTGAGGAGAATGAGCTTGGAGCTGCCGGGCATAACCCGGCGCGGCTCAGAGGTGGGATGCTGAAGGATTTGGGGAGGCAGCTGCAACAGGGCATCGCTCACTGTCCAAGTGTTTCCGTTTCTGAGCGCAAAAAGAAGAACTTAAGCGGGCGGCAGTTGGAGTTTAAATTGCTTTGTAGTGTTTAAAAGCAGCGTGGATCGTGGGCAGCTTGAACTGGTACGTGCAAGAGAAACTACTGAATGGAATTGTGCTGGGTAGGAACCCATCTGATTATTCTTTGTGTACCAAACGTTCTGTGTCCTGAATTGTTCCTATTTGTATACACTCATTTCATCTTCACCTGGATCATGGGGGCATGGGATCACAGTCTTTCATTTTTCCAATGTGATATAATAAAAGCTTTACAAGCACATTGTTTATTGATAAAATATGACCCAAGTAATGGTCTAAAGAAAACATGACAGTGGTACCAAAATACTTTTTCTTTTATGTTTCTTTGTTAGAGGACAAAAAAAGAAAAGTAAACCTAAACCATATTACCATGCAATTTTACCAGATATGACTTTTAAAAGACAATAGCTATATATATATATATATTTAGCTACCATGGACTGAATATTAAATCACTTTTACCTGTAGATGTAGACAGAAACACACCTGTAATATATGAATGATTTTCACATCTATGTGCCAGAAAGAATGTTGTGTATCTATGAAAACACTAATGACAGAAAATATGTATCTTGTGTATGTACATTTTGTATGGTCTAATATGCCACGTGAATGTGTGTTGTGTATATGTAGACAATAACATGGTTGCAGAATTATTGCACAGCTATGAAAATGCATATGTTAGATATTGGGTAGATTTTTTATACCTTCACACATACTATTTCTATCTAGATAACTCAGTATGAAGATTATCTATTGAAAAAAGAAGATTTATTTAAAGAATGTACTTGTTTCACTGTTATATTTTAAATTTGCCAAGTTTCATTCAGTTGTGCATTTAGTTTTCTGTGCTTTCAAATTCTGAGGAAAGGTTAGTTTTTATATTTTGAACATAAAATATTGGCTGAAGTGATTATATGGAAATAGAATGCATAGATATATAAATACAGGTTACCAGGACTTGAGATAACTATAGCCAGAATCTACAAGAGCTCTGAAAATTTGAGAGTTCTGACTGGGAGTTTATATTAGAAACTAGCCAGAAAATTGGAAGATTCAAAAGTTCAGAATTAAATTAGAAATAACAGAGGCTGAGGTGTTCCACTTGGTGTTATTACTCTAAAACTAATGTTAGACTTATTTATAAACTTGCACATATTCTCTTGTAATAGATGTGTAACATGAACCAGTTACTGAATTTTAGTCCTGTCATTTGCACACAAGCGAATACAACGTAATTCAACGTAGAAGTATGAATTGAGAGCTAACTATGTAAGGTAATATGCTAAATAAAACCTGAGATGCCAAAAAAGTTTACAAGGAGTCCCTGCCCTCAAAAAGTTGCCAGTCAGATGACTAGGATGGGCATATTTGTGAATATAAGTATACAGTAAAGTACAAATCAAAATAATTGCTTTTAGAGAGCTACATGCACAAGGTATATAGAATTTAAATGGAGGGAGAAATCCGACTTAGGGGTTTTAGTAGGGACTTTATATTGGAAGGCACTCCTCTCAAGGGATGGGTGGAAAGAATGATTTTGGTGGGTGAAGATGACGATGTCCACTCAGACATTTAGTTTATATAGGGTACTGCTTTCTTCATTGGTCTCAAATGTGAGCAGTAAGAGGTCATATTGTACAGGTGGGTGAGGCAATGTTGGAGATGGCCTTGAATCTCAGGCTGGAGATTTTGGATCTCATC